ATGGAGGGGCCTGGGCGTGTTGCGGGGGGGCGTCGCGGCGGCGTGTTGCTGCGGCGCGCCATGGCGACGCGCACGTTGTGGCGGAGCATCGCATATTCTGGAGGAGATTCCCGTGTCGCACTTGCACGTTTTGAAGGTGATAAAGAAATGATGTAGTTGTCTCGCCTCACCATGAGGGGGATATTTATGCTTATGTGGTTGCGATATTTGGAGACCCCTTAACGATCATCAGAAGTACTGAATTTTAGGAAGGCGATGTCAACTCTAATTGAAAATGAACTAATTTGTTGTAGCCCTTGTATATGTAAATGTTGGTATTTGTAGCCTTTTTAAATCATCTGACGTGATAATTATAGATGATAACAATGTATTTCTTTGTTGCTTCCACAGTTGTTGTGATTTCTTAATTATGAAAAATTTTTCTATGAGGCTCGTAGCTTTCTGAGAAATTTCTTATGCACTTGTGTCTTCTAAGGCTTGTAGTCTTCTGAGGTCTTTGATACACATGTGCCTTCTGAGATCTTTGAGTGTACTTGTGCCTTCTGAGGCTTGCAGTCTTCCGAGGTCTTTGATGTATCCGTGTCTTCTGAGGCTTGTAGCCTTCTTAGGTCTTTGAGTGTATCTGTGTCTTCTGAGGCTTGTAGCCTTCTGATGTCTTTAAGTGGAGACTCTGTCAACCACTTGCTTTCATGGAGTCTTTCTAGTGAGGATCGTGTCCACTACTAGCTTCCCATCGAGACTTGCCTCTTGGGCTCGTCTTCCAGGGGCATGTTAGCTTCTCATTGAGACTTGTCGTGAACATGTCGGTTGGACTTGACTTTTAGGAGTATCGTATCTTCCCGTCGAGTCTTGCCTCTTGGGCTTGACTTTTAGGGGCATGGTAGCTTTTCATCTTCAAGGGAACTTTCTACACAAAAATCTTTAATGAGAAAATAAGAAATTTTCAATAAAATGACATTTTAAAGCAACATGAAAATTTTGCTAAAATAAAATTAAAAGTTTATAAGTCATTCTTTTACTCAAATAAGATGAGTTAGAGTTATACTTCTCATTCAATAACTCCAAAGATTCTCTTTTGGTTCCCCTCATATTTTTCTTGTAAGTAGCGCCCAGGTGACCTTGGCATATTAGAAGTTCAATTTCTTCCTATAATTGAAAACATCTTTCTGTTAAATGTCTTTTTGCTCGGTGTAAATGACAATATTGAGACTGACCTCCACCATCTGGATTTCTTAACGGCATTGTCCACTTGAGAGTCTCTTCATCCTTGATTGTTATTAAGATGTTAACACGTGACGTGTTGAGTGACGTGTATTCTTTTTCTTATCGTTGCTCACAATTCCCCTGTGGTCTGAACTTTTTTCGTTGTGAGATTTGATTGGTATCCTCAGTGTTATTCTTGCGCTTGCCCCTCAATAGCTCAAATTGTTCCTTATGAGCAATGATGGCCTCATCTGTAGAGATTTGTGCCTCAACACGGTGAATAAGGTCAGCATACGAACGAACTATTCATAAGAACGAACTATCTCCCGCATCAATGATGAGTAGAAGGGTCCTGGGTGGAGCCCCCCAAGGAAGACTCCTCTTAGTAATTTTGGATCTACTTCCGGAATCTGTCGGGCTTCAGTAGAAAACCTGCGAAAGTAGTCTTTGAACGACTCTCCTTCACTTTGACAAAGTCCCGAGAGATGAGATGAATCATTGATGATCCGTCGATTTGCTATGAATTGCTCTACAAACAGTCTGACAAACTCGTTAAAGGTGTTTACAGTGCCCACGGCAGAGAGTAGAACCATGGAACACCTGACATAGAATCGCGTACATAGAATCGCGTCAGAGGACATAGAACCGCGTCAGAGGCACGCTGAATGTGCATGATGGTTCAATAATGATCAATATGTTCATAAGGGTTAGTTATCCCTTCATATGTGTCAATGTTCGGCAGCTTAAAGCCTGTTGGGATACGGTGTTGGAGGACCGCATTCGCTAAGGGAGAGGAACTATAGGAGAGGATTTAAGGATGTTATGGTGAGTGTGGAAGCGATCTTTTTTCTCTAGAAGGAACTCTTCTTGGACGAGGCGATGTAGTTCGTTACGAATGACATCATCTGGAACGGTAATAAGACGTGGTGGTGTCAAGGGAGCTGCATAAGATGGATGAGTGAAAATTACAGTGTCTAAGAGTTCAGCATCACGACCTAGAAAGTGAACTATTTCTTCATGAGCAGGGGGGCCGGTATGAGTTCCTCCAGGCGATATGTTTCTCATAGTTCACGAATTTAATGGTAAACGAGTTTCGTTCATCAGTGTGGACAGTGGTTGTTGGGTCCCTCGTAGGAATTGTATGGCCTCCAATTGAGACTCCTTCATTCTACACATTCGTTCTTCCATAGAATGACCTGAAACCCCCTCGTTGGTTGGATAACGTTTTCAAGGGCGGGAAGATGAAGAAACATGTCACCCTTGACTTCGTGATTGTTCCTTGGAACGATGGGTGTTAGAGCGAGCTGATTCGTTGTCCTGAATATTTTGCCTGGTGACCATGTAGTAAATCAAGCAAGTACTTCAATTGTGGGATTGAGAATTTCCCACAAACGGCGCCAAACTGATGTGTGCTAGAAAATTCGCGGCGGTTGAGTAATGGATTATGAGTAATGGATTATCGTTGATTATCGTTTTAGCGTTGCACAAGGATTCAACACACACTTAGATGAAAATGAATCAACATGTGATGACACCAGAAGTTTTTGCGTGAAAAACCCGTAAAGGCAAAAAACCACGATATCTGGCCCAGTTATAAAAATTTATTATAAGTTGATGATTACATATGTCATTTGTCCCACAGACAGGAAAGTATTACTAGAAATTCAAGGTAAAACGTCGACTGACGGCATTTGATTAACGGTGGTCGATGACAATTGATGACGGTCGGCGGTGGTTGACGATCGCTGATAGTCGACGACGACCGACGGTGATGGAGATGATATTGGAGTTAAGCTCCTTATCAAAGTTTCAAGTTCTATCTCAAGTCTCCCCGCTCATGTGAGGGGTGGGGTTCTATTTATAGTGTTATGGGTGCAATCAATGCAGGAATATGAACCATTTTGATTGAACGGTCCAGAGAGTTTCACTCGATCGGATGTTGTTTGATGGATATTTGAGTGTCTTAAAGATGTCGGGATTGAGTAATCTTGGGCTCGTTGAATTCACCTTGTCGAGACGCTCGATTCGAGTATGAACTCGCTGAATTCAACATTCGTTTGATCTTTCAAATGTGTCCGAAAATCTTCAAAAAATGATTTAATCACTTGATATGGGTTTGATTTGACTCAGATTGGACTAACTTTGATATCATTAGATATGTCTTATGGAGTCGGTCAGCGTCACTATAAATTTATTGAAATCGGAGCTCTAGATAGCTTTTAATTGAAGTTTGAATGTTTTTTGGTCAAAATGTTGCCTTGAGATTCGTGTAATGCCTTGAGATTCGTGTCGGGTGATGAAAATTTGTTGGTGGTGTATCAATGATAATGAAAGATCAACAAATTAATGTGAAGGTTCATAAAGATGAAACTCACTACAACCCAAACAAAACAAAGACACTAAGCTCACAAGAAACGAGCGAGTTTTTAAAAACATTGCAGATCACTCACAAAACAACGGTCTAAACTCATACAACCAAACAAATCAACCCACAGCGATTATTCTCAGTAATAGCTCAAATCTAGTTTAAAAAATACAATTAAAAGTCAAACAAAGTGAAAATGAAAACCAAGCAGGTATGGCATTACATGTTCTTAAGATTACACTTAATAATCTAACAGAAAAATTCTGAAGTATATATTTCAACATCAGAAGCAGTGGCAACAGCATATCACTTAGCACAAAATCATTTAATGCTTTTTCATCATTAGTTATCATTAAAATCCTTAGAAATTGTTTGATTCATTAAAAACATTTCTAACATTAAAAACATTTCTAACAATATCTAAACTTCATATCTTTGGCATAAACGCTGTACTTCAAAGCAGCTTAAAGTTATTCCGACATTTTTTTGGTATCTCATCCGACGTTAATATGCTCTAGCCTCAAAATCTTCATCAGATCACCTCGTTCTGGATAGAGGTATGGCATTACATGTTCTTAAGATTACACTCAAGAATCTAACAGAAGAATTCTGAAGTATATATCTCAACTTCGGAAGCAGTGGCAGCAGCATAACACTTGGCACAAAATCAACCAATGCTTTTTCATCATTAGTTATTATTAAAATCCTTAGAAATTGTTTGATTTAAAAAACATTCCTAAAACATCATATATTTGGCATAAACATTGTACTTCAAAGCAGCTCTAAACTATCCCTACATTTTTTGGTATCTCCTCTGAAGTTTATATGCTAAAGCCTACAAAATTTTCATCAGATCACCTCGTCCTGGATAGAGAGATCATAGATACCACTTCTAATATAGAAATCAAACAAATTCATCACCTGGGGAATAAAGGCTCCATAGTCGACTAGTAGTAGTTAGGTTTGGAGAAATTGGGTAATATGTGGTGCCTGGTTTTCATGGGTAACAAAAAATGGTTTCTACATCTTGCAGCGTGGCTAGGGCCTGCAGGGCCTTTTCCAGCCGCAGCTTTGCTTGATACCAATGGAATCTCAATGACATAGCCGAGTTGTTTAATGTCAATGGAATCTCAATGTCTTAAACTAGCCCTAAAATTAAATAGCCAATTAATCGATGCAAAATAGTCATCATTTTACAATTTGACAAATTTCGCTGATTAATTGAGCAGATCTGGGGGGAATATCGACTAATCAATATGAAAAGCATTCGCGTTAGTCAAACCCCTCAACACTCCCATCACATCAAAAGATCACAAAGCCCTTTCTATTAAGGGATCGCAGACATCAAGATCACAAAGCCCTTTCTATTAAGGGATCGCAGATATCAAAATTGAGATAAATCACCTTTGAATCCCCCCCGCGCACCATTTTAAAGAACAACATCTACCTCCACGAATCACCGCGAAACACAGACATAAAACGCAGAATAGATAAAATTGCATTACCATGGGGCGTAAAACTCAACAACAATGAAAGGGTGCTTAGCGACCGTCTCGGAGAAATTGGATGCGTCGAGGGTGAGTACCGCCGAAGCCGACTCTTCCGCAACGAAATCATCGGCACTTGCCGAGATTACAACCGAGAACACGAGCAGCGCGGACCAGAGCCAAACCCTAGCTGAATTCGCCATGAAAATCAACACTGAGCTTCTACTGTGAAAACCCTTCTTAAAACGCTCCGCTCACCCGGTAAATTTTAGGCATGGAAGACGAAACGCATCTGTATAATGAGGTCAAATGAAAAATTAAAACGGAAACTGCGTTGATTGGAAAAAGGAAAGTTCGCTGTTTTAATGTCTTTCGGGATCTGGCGGAGAATGGGCATCCGATTTCTGCAGAAATGAATCCGATTTTTTAATAGAAAAAACCTAATCCGAGTTTGTCGTGACGTAAAATTAATCGGTTTTTTATTTTCTTAATTTTTATGTATTTATCTATTTTCAAAATAATATTTTAAGGAGAGATGTATGGTGATTTTCAAGCTACGCTATGATTTGAAGGTACTTTTTCTTTTCTTTTCTTTTCTGTGGGAAAGTTTAGTTTCTTCTCCTCTTAGTAGTTTGTCAGTGGTTTCTTTCAATTTTGGAGTTTTTGTCCATTTTTCTTCTCATGAATTCTTCTCCTCTTAGTAGTTCGTCAGTGTATGTAGATGAGCTTACTTCTATTGATCAAGAAGTCGGAGGAATGATCAATGCAATGGAATCATAGCTCTCCTTGGTTATGCCATTGGAAAGAGTCATTTATATGATAAATTGCAGCAAATCATCAGTAAAATATGGAAGTTGTTAGGTGTGATAGATCTCTTATCACTTCTTGATGGTTTCTTTCTTTTTTTTCTTTTTTTTTTTTAATGTGTGGAAGATTTGAGATGATTTTAATGAGCGGTCCTTGGGTTATTAATGATAAACCTTTTATTTTAAAAAAACTGTATCATGATTTTAAACATCTGGAAGAAAATTTCAAAAACTTCTTATTTGGGCAAAATTCTCAAATCTATTTTTTTGATTGTTGGACTAAAGTCGATATCTCTAAGATAGCTAGTAAAATAGGTATACCCTTAGTTGTCTATCATTTAATAACTAAAGATTTTCGTCTTACATTTGCTATAATGAACATTCATATTGATACAATTCTCACCTACCAGAGCCCATTTCTCTTGAAATTAAAAGACATGAAATTATCATACTTTTGGTTTACAAATGGAAATTGAACACTTGCAAGTTTTATTCCACTTTTGTCGAGACTCTAAATCTTACTTTAAATCTGCTAATTATCAATCTACTACTGTTACTACCTTTCAAGCTAGAAATAATTATAAGAATGTTCAAAGAAGTAAACGTACACATTCTCTTCCTATTTAGACTTATGCATCTAATAATAATATTAATACATCGGCACATGCTCTTAATATTCTTACTAATATTTCTTCTAATAGTGTTGAAATGTCTAGAGAAATCGGTGAAATCCAACCTATTGAGTCTAATGTTGTTCCTAATAATTATATTACTCTTGTTGCTAATGAGTTTAATGGTGCTTTTTTGTTTGGCTCAAGATAATTTGAATTCTAGGAGTTTGCATAATTCTGATAAATTTAATATGGATGATGCTTTATATTCCTAAATGTTTTTTATTTTTGTGAATAAAGTTATTGACGAAGGTATTATTTCAATTCAATATAGTGGTGAAAATAATTTAATTGATCGGTGTTCTTCTAATATTCTGATAGATAACATTATTCCTAATATTTTTTAATGCTTCTTTTTCTTTTGTTTCTACCTCTTTGCCCTAATCTTTTAAACACTTTAATATTTTTCTTAATGAAGTATTAATATTTAACACTGTCATTATCAGTCCAACCCCGGATGTGAAAAGTGGGGAGTTATGTTAGATAGTCAACAACCGACGCAAAACTTGTCGAAAAAATCATGACATGAATCATTTTGATCATTGTGTAAGTGTTAGGGCGCCCCCTAGAATCGACACACGGTATGGTCTGAATACGGTGAAAAGAGTGCAAGAGTTGCTACACCGACGCCCAGGTTTAGGGTCAAATAAGCAAGGGTTCTCACATTACGGATGAATGCGAGTAAAAAAATTAATCCATGAAACTAATATTAAGATAGGATATTGGAATATATGCACTTTTACTAGTAAATTAATGGAATTAGTTTATATTGATTCATAGAAAGATAAATATCTTATGAGTTCAATAAACTAAATGGTTTGAAAGGCTAAGGAGATTGATAACTTTAGGTTTTAAACTTTGGTACTCAGGTTAGAGTGGCACTAGAAATAGGATGGGTCTAATTATATATAAGAGTTTGAAAGATAATGTTGTAAAAATTAATAGGGTTGGAGATAGAATTATAACCCTTAAGATTATTATTGATTCTAAGATTTTTAATATTATAAGTGTCTATGTTCCTTAAATAGGTTTAGATATAGGTTCTAAAGATAAATTCTGAAATGACTTAGAATACTTCATACGAATGATACCACTTGAAGAAAGAATTTTTATTGTAGCAGATTTAAATGGACATGTCGGTAGAGTGGTGGAAGATTTTAGAAATGTTCAATGTGGCTACGGTTATGGAGTGATTAATGAGAAGGTGGAGCTATATTAGATTTTATTTTAGCATATGATTTATTATTGCTAATACTTTATTCAAGAAAAGATATTAGCATATTATTACATATAAGAATGGATCTAACAAAACACAAATTGATTATTTTCTTTTGAGAAGAAGTGATCGTCAAGAATGTAATGATTGTGAGGACATTCCAAGGTGTGAAATTAAAAAAAAAAAGAGCAACATGCTCTTCATTTCAATGCACATTCTTCCTCAAATCATGTGAGATAAGTTTTATATTCATTCTAGTGTTATTTTAATGTGTTTATCAATTTTTTTTAATCAGAGAATTTATTTTAATATAAAATACTTTTAATAGATTAAAGTAGATTACTTATGTTTGAGCTCAAGCTCATTTTTTAAAAAATTACTCAAACTCAACTCAAGCTTGATTCGAGCTTTCAAAATTGTGATCCAGATTAAGCTCATTTATCAATAACACATTTGAGTTTGGCTCGCGATGTCTCCCAAATATTCCTCCACTCTCTTCGATTCTGTTAAGGATGTTGATTCTTCATTCTTGACTGAGATCGAGGTGGGGGTGTTGCAGAAGAAATATGTTTTTGTCGACAGCATTGTCCTTCGATGAGTGTCAGGTTCAACAAACGTGATGGACGACGTGGGCTAGCATCTGGTCTTTTCATTTTATGACAAAAAATTTAAATTGCAATTTTCTTTTTTATTTTTTTATTTTTTTTTATTTGTCATTTTTTTATTTTTTTATATTCTATGCAGTCAATCACAACTCAAAGAAATCAGACCAAAATTCAAATAATAAAAACAGATTTGCATCACCCCTATAAAATCGACAACCAAATCAAACTGTAATTTTCCAAAAGTCAAATAATCTAGATCTAAAAAATAAAAGAATAAAAAAAATAAAAGTAAAATTAAAACTATTAAAAATAATAAATATTTAATTAAAATAATCAATGTTTTCCTAAGAAATAATGTGGTAGTTTTCTGAAACATATTAACTGTGTTTTCTTAAAATTAAAAATAATAATGTTTATTTTTTTCTAAATTCTTATTATCTTTTATATAATATTTTGTGAAAAAGTCGTCTCAAATAACCTAATTAAGATTTGGATGGATCCAGCGAATTTCTTTTTAGATAAAAACAGATTTAATATTATTTAATTAATATGATAAAAATTTAGATTAAAATAATCCTAACTTGTATTACATAAATCTTTTGAACTGAAAGTTTTAAATTTACTTGAATTTTTAAATGCTATAAAAATACTAGAAATCGATATTTTGCAGAGGCTCAAATATCGATTCCTTATGCGCTATGCCCTATGATGAGAAGCCCGTCATTTGTGTTATTATTCGAGAACCACCGCATCACGAGTATTTGAACCCGAGGAGGCTTACAGAAATCCCGTCAACCAACAGGTTGACTTGCTCACTATATATATATATATTCAAATATTTTTTATAATATTTAAAATTTGGACATTATAAATTAAATATACAAATAAAATTATTATATAAATATAATTTATTTCAATTCTCGATTTATTTTTATTTACTTTTTTTGTCCATTCTAAATGCCTCATCATATTAACAAATTGATTCATTGCTTTCTAACCTCGGCTCTCACTTGACATTGCGCCATCTGTATTTTATTCCCAAATAAAAAATTAGCGGATAACTCAAAATCTTATGCGAAATTATAAATTAGATTATTATCATTTTGAATAAGATTATTAATAAAATAGCAAATTTGGTTATTTATATTCTAATAATGCGTTTGTTAAAAAGAAAATAATCACATATACATGTGATTATTAAAAATTAGTATTAACATTTAAATTTTGAGCAATCAAACAACAGTGTCTCATGCATTCCTATCATTTGAGATACTATTGTTTATATTTATGCCCAACATATGAGAAAATTATTCTGTCAGGACTCCTAATAAAGAGAACCATTGGGAGTTCAATGAAATCAAGCCACGTGGCGGTAACAGAAAAAAATCTGTCTGGTAACATAATGGAATATTCCTCTCATGTTATACAGATGTTATTGATGTGTTATTATGTTATTATAAGACCGGGAATATTCCCATAACACAATAACATCTGAATAACACGGAATAACACTGGATGAATATTCCCCTGTGTTATTTATTTATTTTTCTATCAAAGTCATGTTGTGTGATTTCATTGGACTCCGAATAGTTTTATAATTTTCCCAACATATGAGGGCTTGGGAGCATTTCCGTACATACCACCCAGTTCTTATGTATTTACTCATCTAACACGTTATACCACCCAAATCATTCAAATCACATCTAAAATTTCAGTATAAAAAGTTATAAACGCGTCTTTTTTAATGCATCAGTAAGTTACACATATATTGAAGTTTAGGTGTTATACATAAATAAGAATAAATGCTGAATTTTTATATGTACTATGAGATAGAAATTACTTTTTTTTTTACTCATAAATGCTTAAGCATATTTGTAAGCAAAGTGTTATGTATTTGACATATTCAGGGCTTGTACTTGACATATAATACTTTTGATGGAAGTTTGGAGCTTGAATGTAATTGTAATTCCACTTTCAGCAATAAATGTATAAATGTATGATGTATCAGTCATTTCATATATGAAGATTTCTATGTGACAAAAAAATGCTTTAGAGAATTCATATGCTTTTCTTACAGAATTCATTTGATGGAAG